ATCTCAGAGCTGCCTCGGACATTGGCTGTGCTGGACATGGAGGAATCTCCAGCAGCTTCTCACAGAAGCCACCCCTGTAGTCCCCCTGCTACCAAGACCTGGCTGTGCAAACCCAACACAAGCACACACAAAAGACAGATGGTATTTAAGGAGCTTCTAGGCTAAGTATTTGTGCTCTCAGCACCCTTAATGAATCACCTGAGGAGTAGCTTCTGAGGAATCAAACCATCCAGTGTGGAGTGGTCCGGCCAAAGAGGCAGGGATTTGATTTTAGACCGGCAGTGTTAAAGTGAGAGGTGTGGCTTTCAAACCTGGGAAGAGTTACTCCAACCCCAAATCCCTCGTGGAGTGTCAACCCGAAGTGTTTTGCTCTTCTTGTGTTGCTATTCATTGTATTATACTGCATTAACCCCTCCTATTGTATGCAATTGGTTTGTGCCCCTGGGGCTTCTCCCTTGCTGTGTCTCTGTTGGACCCAGACTCCACCCTGGATCGACCCTACTAAACCCACTACCCTGCCTCTGTTCAGGGTTCTACATTTCTGAATTATGCTGGGTTAATTCCTGTGTTGGTGATGCCCAAATAAATAAGTTTAACCCAAGTTTAACCAAATGGAGACCCTCTCGTTGATTTCCCATGTTCGTCACTGCTGGCTGCACCTCCGTGGACATGATACTGTTTCAACAGACGATGCAACAATCCAGCAGTTGCTGGAAGAGATCTTCATTCATGCTGCTTTGTCATTCCCTGATTTCTTATTCACACCTTTAAAATTCTATATCTTTCAAGTTTGTGGTTTTCCTCTTAAAATATCTAAACTTGTCTGAACTGTGCAACCTCTGACCGTTTTCCCGTTGTCTTGTGTGACTTAACTCTGCAGCTTTCCTTATTACTTTGTTACAAGTGATGGCCTAACCCTTGGGAGGGGGAAGAGGATGGTGAGTCACTACCCACTAGTAGTCAAGCAGACCCCATTATTTGGTGTCCACTCTGCATTTCAAATCTAATGTAATTTCCATGGCTAATCAAGACCTTCCATATAATTAGAACTAATAACTCCAGATGTTCTTTTCCAGGCAGAATAGTGACTAGGCACACCAGTTGTCATGCATGACTGTGCTAGTGTTCAGTGTTGTCAGAACCACGGCTTCTACCAATACAAAGGTATTCACTATTCTGAATCCTTGGAGAAAAAGCTAGATAAAATTACATACATCTTGCTTGTTTCAAAATACTTATACACATTCCATCACTGCCTGTTTTTCCTTCTTCTTTGGAGTCTTGCCAGACTGATAAATGTTTCTTTAGAGGTGAAATTAGAGTAACAGACAATTTTATATGCCTTCTAAATCTTTGCCTTGTGCAAAGGGTTCTTAAGACTAAAATGCTTATCAGGTCACTGCCAATTAAAACTGTGGTCTCATGCATGAGGTCCTAGGGAAAACAACATACAAACCACATATCACAAAGGCTCCTTGTTAACATTAAGCTGTTGATTAGAACTTCTGTAATGGAGGGACAGGGCAGCAAATCATCCTGTAGACACACATGTGATCCTGTCTACCTCAGGCAAATACTGGGACTGGTAGACCTTTATGAACCAGGGTTCACAAAAGGTCCACTCTCCAGCAGGCAGTAGTAAACAACAGACCTGGCATCTGTCACTGTCTAGAAGTCCTGTAAGCAGATCTAGTCCTACCAAAAAAAAATAAAAACAAAAAAACCAAAACAAAACAACAAAAAAATCCTCACCAAACTGCAAAATGAAGTTCCCTCGGGCTGAGTGATTGGTCTTTGCCAATCTCCTGATATAGGATTGAAGATGTCAGTGCATATCCCTTGGATATAACACTGGCTAAGGCATTTATAGTCCCTCATCCAGTGGGGGACTTTGAGGCCTTTGTGTCTTCTGTACTTCTTTATTTAAAAGGAATTAATGCCATCAACACTTCTAACAAGGGTCTAAAATGTAAAATAATGATGATTCAATAGCCCTATATGGTGGAGAGCTTTGCAAACAAAAAAGATTCAGTGATACGTGATTTCATCATACCAAGACCTTTTCAGAGCCAAAAATCTGTAGACAGAAAGTATTGCAAAAACAGGTAAATTCCTTATTCTGTACTATTGCCAAAAGTGAAGGGTTAACTGGCTCTAAAGGACACATTAAGTTTTCCAGTATTAAAGCAAATAAGTGCACCCCAAAGAAGAATGTAACAATTACATGTATAGTCTCTTCAGATTGTTTGCAGTGCTCAAAATACTTGCATATCAAATAACCTATAGATTAGGAATGAATAGGTAATACCCTTGTTCACAAAATCTCCATTGTTTTACAGTCACTTGGCATGAGAGACCACAGTCTTCCTTTTTGACTAGAGCATTGCTGTGAGAGAGTTGCCCTTTAGTGAAAAGGGAATGTCTTCAGCTATTGGCTTTTTCTTCTTCCTTACTTTTTCAAAAAAAATTAAAAAATACAGGTGTTTTTTTTAATTCTAACACAGAAGTTGGAGCAGGGATGAGAACTCCCATAAAAGGCCAGAGCAGGCAAAACCACAGAATCACAGAATCCAGCTCAGAACTAAAGGCTTGCACAGGCATGCCATGCTTTACATTGGCAAAAACAATGAAGAGCATTGCAGAAGCCTCATACAAGTGAGCTGAACAGACACTGCAAAGTTAAGGCCTTAGCATGCACAGGTTGCAGCAGGGGATGTTTAAATTAGCTATTAAGAAAAATTTCTTCACAGCAGGAGCTGTCAAGCATTGGAACAGGGTGCTCAAGGAAGTGGTTGAATCACTAGCCTTGGAGGCATTTATAAGTCATGAGGATGTGGCACTCAAGACATAGTTGAGTGGTGGACTGGGCAGTGTTGGGTTAACAGTTGGACTTCATGAAATTAGAAGCCTTTTCCAACCTGAATGAATCTGCATGATGCACTCAAGAAATACTCCAAAAAAAGAACTACCTCGTTCTTGATGGTGATGAGACAACAATATATGGAAAAAACCAGCATACCCTAGGGAAAAGAAAAAAGCTATGGAGTTCCAGTATGCTTCTACAGCATCAAGTGCTATTTTTTATAGCTAAATAATAATAATAATGAAACAGATGCAAGAGTGGTAACATAGAGGAAATACTTATGTAATACTAAAAGGTTGCTTGGTGTGATTAATGCCAAAAGGACACCACATAAATCATTGTCAAAGCAGCTTGGCCCTATGTTCCTAATAATTTTTAAAAAGCCATCTATTTTTAAAAAGGTTAAAGCAATTTTTATTCCTCTATAGCTTATATGAAGAAAATGTTTCTATATTTTATTTTTCCTCTACACAATGCATGTTCAACAGCAAGGAGAGCCAGGGAATTAGTATCTGCTGCTAAGATAATTATCTAGTTCTGTGAGGAAAGTCAGATTAATTGGGATTTTATGTAGTATTTCTACACTAGCAGTAAGAGTCAGTCCTTTATAGAAACAGGTATAAGAAATTTTATTGAGTATAAGAATACAAAGACTTGATACATTAAACTGTACAAAAGGTACCCTAGCACTAAATGAGGCAACTGTATCCATACAAAAGCCAAAATTTACAAATGACTCATACTACTGAAATGAACAGGTGCTGTGGTACTTTCACATTAAGACTTTACATTCCAATAAAGAAACAAAACCAAGAGCAGTAATTATTTTCTAGTGCCTACTGCCTAAATTTAAAAGCCATAGTCCAGAACACAAATCAAAAATAACTACCTGACTTTCAACATCACAGAGGAGACATGTTCAAGAAGGATTTAAAAATTCCCTCAATTTTCAAATTGTGAAGACACAGTGCCTAGTAAAACACTGTCTGGTGTTGATCTGTTAGATTACAACAAACAGCTCCATAGAACCAAGATCCAAATTTGAGGTGGTTCTAAGCAGTGTAGCTTAACTGACATACAGACCAATAACAAAAACATGTTGCCAATGTTCCTAACATGTATTTTTTTTTTATTTTTTATTACTTGGACTACTTTAATTTCAGAATATTACATTGGCCAGTGCATTACGCAAAGGCATTGTGATTTGACCAGTGTTCATTAGGGTTAATATTAAGTCCTTGGAAATGCCCTTTATTTTGCTTTCATTTAATCAGCTGACTACTGCATATGACAAGGAACCTACAGATGCTACGAAACACAAGATCAGTATAGAAGCAGAGACAAACAGGTATGGGAGAGTCAGAGAGCACAGCCCCTAAATAAGCACATAGTTTAAAGGAATGTGGCTCTCATATATGACTCATAGTTTTGCTATGTTAGATTGCCACATTGCTTTAGATAACAAAAATTTTAAAGAGATCACAAAAGGAAAAAACTTCTAAAGAGAAGGAAGTGGGATGCAGTTTGTTACAGAAAACAAAAAGTAAGAGTCTGTAAAGATAACAGAAAAGAGGACAGCAAAAGAAAGTATAAAAATTTCCCACCTGTCAGATTTTTCTAGCTGTCCAATTAAAATTCTGGAGTATAAGAGGAACAGAAAATTAGAAGCTTAAATAATGTCATCATTATCATATCTGAAACAAAATAATCATACTAGGGCCAGAAAATTCATGCACTATGTTAAGGACAACTGAGTTTTAAACTCATTCTGCAAAAATAGCCTAGAATTAGGCAATTCAGTTTGTATTTGCAGTCTGTGTTTAGATAGTCTAACTCAAGTTTTGTTGTATATCCTAGGGATCAGTGTTTCATTCAAGTATTGTAGAATTAAGGAGCAGCTTCCTTTACCTATCAGCTGCTAAAAGCCTTTTAGCAGCTGCAAAATTGTTTTTATCTTTGTATATTTGAATGTCTGAACTCTAAAGACAACACTCAAATACTTCAATGCTATCATTGGGAAATACCATCATAAACGACCCAAGATATGAATGCTGGGTTTTATTTATTTATTTTTAAACACAAAATTATACACAGAATAGATAAAAACATACTATTTTCACATAGTATCAACCTGCTTTCTTCAAAGTATTTTAGACCAAAGCTGCCCATACACTGATTTCACTGTTACTTTCTTGAGGAAGAGAAGTCAAATAGAGTCTGTCCAAGTGGCCTAACAAGAATACAGACATTTTAGACCATTTTGATGTATCTAACATGAACCAAATCTAACTCATTAGATAAACACCAAGAATTCATATGATGTCCTACTTAGAACTTTCTCTGGTACACATATTCAAGATGTTCAGTGAAGTTTCATCTGGGAGTATGAGCAACTAAAGACAAAACTTGGTGTTCAAACTACTATGTTTCTTTTTCTAGACTATTTACAAGACTACTATATAAGGAGTCTTGTTTTCTTTTCAAAAGAGGTTTTGATTTTTTACTCATGTAAGAGGTGTCTCTGTGCAGTTTCATAGGTAACTGAACAAGCAGGAGACAGACATTTACATTTTGTCTTGTTAGTAAAATAAACCTTGGAGAAGGATGTGAACTGTCTGTCATGCACGTGCCCTAAATGTATACACATGCTATTGCAAGTACAAAGTCTGAGCAAAGCCTTTCTTAAGAAAATGAAAATATGTTGTTTAATTCTTTAATGCATTTGTGTCAACAAAAAGAATGTTCATAACTACTTCCTTCCACTTAAAACCAGTTTCAGTGCTAAATACAGGTAGTATCCATCCTTTTAGAAGGCACCATACAAGAGCTTCAGAAATGCAACATTTTTATCTCCATCCTTCTAGTGATTAGAGACTTTCAGCCTTCTTTTTATAGCTGTCTAGGATGCTGGTCAAGTTTGACAATAGATCTTCAGACATGAATTCTTCATAGTCTCTGTGAATTTTCACATTCTGTTCATCAAGGTATTTCTAGAAAAGAGGTACAGAAAACTTTATTAGCTCTATCATGATCTGTTTTGTACTGATTCTGTTAAAGCATTTTAAGCAGTCATTGCATAGGGTAGCTGATTTCAGTTAAACACTTTCCTGAGGGACATCTACCAGAAGCAGGTTTAACCTGACAGGATGTTACTGCTGAAACTTAGTGATCAATTCTGATTATACCAAAGGTTTTGTCAGAAAATTTAACTAAAATCCATGGACTCGGTGCAGCAGCTAAATAACTGATACTTCCTTAGAAAAAGTAAGTTCTAATTTCCAAGTGTTTAACTATGAATGTCTCTAGAGAGATTTAATTCTGAATATCAAATTTTAGCTTACCACTATAGATGCTATATGATTAGCAACTGTTTCTATAAGATGACTCAAGTTATCACCAATTTTCCTCTTCTCTTCTGTTGTTGTTTGCAGAACAACTTGATATCTAAAAGGTAAAGATACTCAGAAGGTCGTGTTCTAAATTAAAGAATTCCTAACATTTAAAACAATCACTTCAAATCGGATTTATCATCATGTTTGGCCATATTTTTTTCTATTAGGATTAATTTGAACCAAGTTAGAATATATTAATACTCAATTTAAAAAAAAAAAAAAAGTCTGTATTTTGCTAACTGATAAGAAACAATGTACCTTAGAGTCTGAATACTCTTTCCAGACTTTGAGGTATAAAATATAAGTTTGGAAACTAATTTCTTTGCTACAACCATATATATATATAAAAAATTACATGGAAAACAGGAGTTTTGATGCAGCAGACAAATATAAAAAGTAGCAAAATAGTGTTGAGGAGGAACACCTTTCAGTTGTTAATTTGTGAAATTGATACACTGAGATGGATACATGCTGAAACAACTTTATGTTACATTCAAGAGAATATCTTTATCCTTAAAAAACAAAATAAACAAGGCAAACATGGAAGTTACGAGTCTTACTGTAGTTGGAGATCATGCAATTCATTTGTGGCTTCACTGAGACCGTCATAGACACCACTCTCAAGTAACTGTTTATGCTTTTCTAATGATTCCCGTACATTTGCACATTTTTGCTCTTCCTCTTCTATCTCCTATAGTCATAAGAGGAAAAAAAAATTGTATTGCTCAGGAATATTTTTTTTTTCTTCTTTTTATTACCTGATTACATTCTAACGCTTGAATTCAAAATTCACACAAGTAACTCAAATTTCAGAACTGAAAAAAAGAAAACCCAAGGACATCTTTCCCAAACAAAGTTTCAGCTATTTTCTGTATCATCCCCATCCCAGAATAAGCCTAACCATCTCTTTTTTCCTTTAACCATATTTAAAGGCCTGTGTTGCAGCTAGTTTCCCCTCACAGTTAAACTCCAAATGTGTTGCTTAGATAGTCTATATAGCTTAGAAATGGCACATCATGAGCACCTGTTTCTAGGTTAAAAAAATACAACCACATTTGAGTAAGAAAACGGCTTTTCCTTTTTGTCTGAGAGTGCAATTCCAAGCAATCATCTCTTCAAGGAGAATGACACTGTTGACGCTATACACAAAACCAAACAAAATTCTGTCATCAACTCAACATGCGATTCTGGTAGATTACTGAAGCATCATTCTTAAAAAAATAATTTTAATACTTAAGACTTACAAACAGCATTTTAAAAATTACAAGAGGAATTACATGACTATGTCTTATTATATATGTTATTATATATATTACTATATATGTTATTATAAACATCCAATGGCAACTGTGTATTTTATGAGCTTAACTTCAGAGAAAAGTATATGCACGAGCAGAGAACAAAAGCTAAATTTCATGTGGTTTTGAAAAATAGAAACTAAATTAATTGTCCTTAGCCAACTCAGCAGGTATTAGCAGTGAAATAACCCTGTTTCCTGGCTATAGCACAGGAGTTAGGATTTACAAGAGCATATATGGCAAACACTGGCTTAGTTCAAAGAACATTTTTCTGCAGGGCACCTCAGCCCCATCAAAACAGTGTTGTCAGAGAAGTTGGGAGGTACCAAAATAGCCACTCAGTTTTTAACAGAGAGGGCTATGTTTTGTTGCTGAACTGCAAGAGGGGAAAAGGATAGGGACTGCTCCTGTGCTGGGAAAGGAAGCTAAAGCAAGCAACAGTTTAAGATCCTTAGAACAATTTAACATACTTTTGGCCAGCCAATGATTTCCTTAGTTTTTACACAAGCTGATTAAACATGTTTACTAAAAAATGTAAATGTATTTATCACAAACAAATTAATTAGACAAGGCAGATTCTGTTAATCTTAAAATCTCCTTCAAGCACATGCGTGAAGACATCCTGAGGTCAGATGATTGCTGCTGCTTTTATTACTGGATGCAGTAATTTAAGATTTGCAGGATCTGCTACAGTATGATGCCAGATTCTCTTACAAGTGAGTGAAAACTGATTCAGTTAAGGTAGCAGTCAAATAACTTTTCTGAAAAGAATGAAAAAATCCTGTAAGAGGAAGGAAAGAAGACAAAGGTGGAAGCCCAAACAAAAATGCAACCCCAAAACTTATCTATAAACACAAAGATTAAGGATAAGGGTATGATTAAGGATAAGTTGTCATCAAGCTATAAGAAATTCTACCTTAAGCTTCTGCTGGTAAAGATCATCCAGCTTTTCAGCTTCTTCTGTCAGCATTTTCACATTGCGTTTCTTTTCCTCTAGCATTACATTCACCTAGGATGAAAACATAACTGAGGAAATATGGTTCAAAAAGAATTCCAACATATAAATACATGCCATCACAAACTACACCTGCTATCTCCCAAAAACCAATTAAACTAGGCTAGGCTGCAATACCAGCAAACCAAATATTGCTAAAAATCTTCCTGATGACAATTTGTCAGTGATGGTAAGCCACACAATTGACTGGAATGGGCAACTTATTAAAAACAAATATTTCCAATATTTATGGTCAAATATATGTAACCTACATAAACTTTAATTCAGAGAATACACAATATTTCAACCAACGAAGTCCCCAATTCTTAGAAAAACTTTTAGGTTCCATCACAATTAAAGTTTTCTCACAGTTTCTCCCCCTCTGCTTGTCCTCAGAAAAACCTCCACCAATCCAAAAATCTAACCCACCACACCACACTTCATCCATGCAAAAGGTGGAATGAAAGCAGCAGATAAGGTTTTAGGGCTCCTAATCTTCATTAGCCAACACACCTGGTCCAAAGTATCTTCCAAAGTCATTTTCCGTTGAGTAGCTTTACAGATTTCCTCCTCAGTCTCATTCATGATCTCCATGAGGGGAGCCTGTAATAAACATACAAGAAGATCTGACAAATACAGTTTGCTTATTTGAACCAAGATACATATTTTCTTTCTATTTTTTTTAGGCTACTATATTCTCCAAACCAAAACATCTTTTATATACAACATCATTATAGTGACTCATCACACAAACTTCTCAATGACATTTCACTCTGAGATTGATAGATGCTTTCCAGCATTTCCAAAGAAACACATCTTTTTTGTGAGTGGTAACTAAAGCCTTCAGTGTTGACTCTACTTACCTTGATCTGAGTTCTGTATCTGACTAAGCAATCTGGTCCTGCCTCAGGATTAAACTGAATCTCAAAGTCATGGCCTTTGGAATTCTCAGCACTTACTGGAATTAATTTCAATTTTCGAGCCAGTTTATGATACTCCGCCAGTTGCATTTCAATCTGCTCAGAGGAGAAAAGGGCAGAAATCATAGAAGAGATACAAATGAAAAGCTTTGTGAGAAGCATTCATATAATACTTTAAACAAGTTCCTGAGTTGCTCTCTCTACAGACACGATTCCTGGTTACACCAGAGAGCTGTATGTAACACCAGTCCAGCAGTTTGCTGCATTAGGTACTGTTTTATGATTCTTTCAGTTTGCTCAGCCAGGTTTCTCAGTGTGTGTGGCTGACACTGAACGGTTTCACCTGTGGCTTTCCATATTCATCTGCCATAATTTCTCCTGCCTCAAGTTTTTGAGAATTAGCTGACAGGGAACTAAAAACATGCTGGAAAATAACACTAAACCAATGATCAGTCATCAGGTCAATATGCCTTCTCTCATTAGTCTTGACAGGAAATGCCACACAGCCACACATCCTTATAACAAACTAACTTGAGTATGCCCTGAAACAAAGCTTATTAAATGCTCTAACTACTAATTAATGAGTGCTATTTATATGCAAACAAAGAACCCAGGGTTTTTTTTTTTCCAGTTTTATGTGCTTCATACTTGCACAGAAGGATTTAAGTTAATACAAGTGTTTGATAAAGGGTAACCCTACCAAATATATTTGAATTTTTTTTTCTTTAGTTCTCCAACTGGCAAAGCAGAAGCTTTTAAATCCCATCACCTACAGGATTATATATTTTCATTCTGTTTGATGGGATTGAACTTTGCCCTTGAAAGATGTTACAACTTCTACACAAAGAACTAATCAAGCCCTAAATGCATGCAAAGCTATTGATTCAAATAATAGTTTTGCCTTGCTTTCTTGCTATGAAATATTGACATTAGTCTGAAATTTCTTGTGTTATCAAACCAATGGCATGCTAATGTTATCAAAGCTTTTAATGCTACAGCAGCGAGAGCTGACAGTGATTCATATTCTAGCTACATCTCTTACGGAGAAAAAAAAGAATACATTTCCATTAAGTGCAAAACAGAAAAAGAGGAAAAAAAAGAGAAACATCTTTCAGCAATATTGTAAACAGAGGCCATTCTTGACAGTTTTGCCTGGTTAGATACACTTATGGTGGTGTTAGATTATATAGGAAAGAAACTATCAAGACTCCAATTTGAAGCTTATATGATGACAACTGACAGCCACCTCTGAGTGTAGTGTGGTCTTCACATACCCCCTCTTTATTCCTAGCATATTTTATCTCTTCATTCCACAGCAGATGTTCTTCTGCTTCCAGTTCCTTGGTCAGCTTGTTAATGGTTTGCTGCAGCTCATTTCTCTCGTGATTTAGTCTCTCAATGTCCGCAGCTGAGTACTTTTGGTTATCTAAGACGTGCCGGAGCCGGGCATTCTCCTGCTTCATTGCTTCTACTTCCATTTCTAAGTTCACAAAACATTTGTGAAATGGACATAAAAGAACTATTAGACAAAAAATAGTTTTATTAGCAATCCATTCTGGAAAGTTTATTTGTAGCATCATCGTACACCAAGGATCAACTTCTGTCCTCAAGCTAAGAACTACAATTTGAAGACTATTTATAGCTACACTGTCCTGACTGTGATCAAGGCCTCCTTACCTGCTGTCTCAACTTCATCATTAACACTTTCCAATTTTTTATCAAGGATGGCTATATGAGATTCCAGACTAGCCAAATAAGCCTGATATTTCTGGACGTCTCCTTGAAGAGATGATTTCACGTTTCGTAGCGTTACTCTACGATCCTAGGAAATGGGTGAGAAGAACAATCACTCTTAGATGAATATAAAATAATGACTTCACTTTCCAGACAAGACAGTAGAATAACTGGTCAATATCAATAGCACAAATATAAAACTAAAGAACTTTAACAATTTTTAAGCTCTGTGAGAGCTGAGCCAAATCAAGCACCTTTAAAATAACAGCTAGGAAGGCTGGAAAGATTCTTGCATTTCAGCATTAGGTCTCTCATTTACATCAGACACTGCATGTAGAAAATTCTTATTACAGGTAGTTCACAAAGTAACTCTAATAATATATGGAAGGCAGATAAAACTAGGGCATGCATGGAAAGCCAGGAATAAACCCGGTGCATTTTGCACAGCAAGAGTTTTAATTTGCCACCTGCACAGCCACTAACCCATTTTTAAGCTCATGATGCATTAAAAGCAGAATCCAGCTTTTCAAGCAAAGTATTTTCCATAAAATATATTGTTACCACTGAATCCCACACCTCACACCAACACTTTTGGAAAAAATAATGTTGAAATTTATATTAAAAAAAAGAGGTTCAAGTATTTTATTAATATTTCAGTCAATACAAGACCTTATTATGTGGAAACATCTGCACATTATCGAACAAATAGTCACTGAAGACTCCACAGAAAAAGCCTTGTTCTACAATGGTATAAAGTCTGTAAAAACCTGGCCTAATTAAAATCTTAAAGCACTGAAAATAATTTTCTATTTGTTATGTATTGTAAGTATCTTCATTAAGAAATGGTTAATAATATAAAGTTCAACTCCACCATAAAAATAGACACAATTTACTAACCGGCTCGCTTTCCTTCTCTTTTTCTAGTCTTGCAATCTCTTCTTGGAGTCTTTTGTTCTCAGCTGCTAAACTTTCCATCTTGACTTGATCTATATTAAATAAATCCTCTGTAGAAGAGAAGAAAAAGCGGGGTTACAAATTAATCTCACTTAATATTACCACCTATTTTGAGTATCTGAACTTAAGCTTCAGCACAGTAAATACCCATTATCCGGACAATTATTTTACACTAAAGAAGCAACTACAAAAACACAAGAAATTATCAGAAAAACCCTTCATTCAAATGCAACTAGGCAAAAACCCCAAAACGAACAAGAAGATAAATTGGTTTCTCAGTCCTCATGACAAAAACAGTTCAAAGTCTCTCCCAAGAGGTAAGAGTTTCCAAACTCTCATACAGCCCATACCACAAGAGAGTATACAAATCAGACTACCTTGTGAACTTAGAACAGATCAAAGTTATTTAATAACCTCTTTCTTATCCATATACTTCCTTGCTTCTTGAGACATCTTTTCCCTTACTTCACTTGGCTTTGCCAAAGAATGGGATGATTATTTTTTTCTAATATCCAGCAACAGTGTGGTAGCTTGTTTCCTCTCCAATTGAAGGCTCCAGTTTGCAAACAAAGGGCCCTTAGTCTAGCTTTTCATAGGAAATCAAAGAAAGTAAGAAACACTTTTCTTCCTTGTTCTCACATTCTGTTTGTATTTTTGTAGGTGGTGAGTAAAAAAAAACCTAATAATTTTCCACCACCCGAAGACAAACACAGGTACATGCTGAATCGCATACAAGAACTCTCACAATAGAGTTTGAAACTCTTGCAGACTGTTTTCACAGCTTTCAAAAGATGAACTTTCTTACTTATCAGGTGTGCATCCTCTGATAATCATCCTTTTTCTTGATTTTTAATTGTTAGCTTTCCCATAAACAAGACACAAATATGACATGAACAAGAGTCATCTGCATAGATGGGAGTTTGCATCTGAAGAACTGTATACTGGTTTTCTGTGACAAACCACTAAAAAAACAGGTGACACAGCTACAGCTGATAGCAGATCATCACCTATCCATCTGTACGGGTAAAAATATATAAAAAAGAGAACATTAAAAGTTGAAGTAACCAAAAGGTACTTAGGAATTCAAGATTCCCTTGGATCACTTTCACTTGTAAACCAAACAAACTGATGCTAGGAGAAAAACCAGTAACACAATTGAATACTTAATTAAGACTCAAAAACTTACTTAATTTTGACTGCACTTCAGCATCCAACTCTTCAAAGGTATCTCTCCCTTGCATGAAAAGATCATAGCACTTCACACAGTAGTCCATGAAAAGCTGAAAACAATTTAAAAATCTTTCATTTCAACAATTCCAAGGCCTGTAAAATATCTGGGTAGTCTAAAGCTACTCAGTCACAGGAATTAAACAGACACCAAAATATCTTTCAATGCTTTGATTGTACTTTTGTAAAATTAAACATTTTTCTTTCCTTTGAGAAAAGAATGTCAGCAGATTATATTCAGACAGAAGGAGGCATCTATAATTCACTTTATGAAAGATCTAGAAATTCTGTATATTTCTGTGATATTTAACAAGTATTGAAGGTACCATATTTAAGAATTTTTCATCTTGACTGATATGATTCTCTCAGGCTAGTTTATGGAAACTGGAGGTCTGTTTAACAGATCTCTTCAGTAAATATGACCATTAAAATTCAGATCTGCAGATGTCAAAGAACTAAGCTAGAATTAACAAAAGCTTACCCAAAAAGAATCTGTTAGACACTGTTACAGATGTTTCAGAAGCAATTACACCAATATTGTGAATTTTGTATCAACATATATGCATAAGTGTCAGTGTAGAAGAACATTTTTAGTTTAAAAACATTTTTACTTGCCAACCATCAGGTTGTAACCTTAGTCCAAAACCATGATTTAACTTGATTTTTGCAATTCTCTAATTAAATGTTTAGCTTATAATGTGACCCCTTCCAAACACCTGTTGTGTGTTAACACTGAGTTAAATCTGAGTAGTACTAATAATCAATGATAAATTAAAAAGAAACCAAGCTTTTGGATTTTTAAGACCCTGAATTACATTGCCACCGTATTTTGTGGCTCATAAATAAAACATTATAACCAATTTTTACATAGTTAACTGACTAGATACTGGCAGGAGCCACTATATTTAGAATTAAGTCACTGTCTTTACACTGCACTGCTGTGAACCTCAGAAGTCTTGATTGCTAAAGCAAAGTATTCCAGAAACTCTATTAAAACAATAAGCAGCATGATTTCCTTCCTCCACAAAGGAGAACTGAAACAGTAGGTGCTTGGAGAATAAGGCACTTCTGTTTAATACCCAGTTTTCACCAATAGACTGGCCATGATGCCTGCTCAGGATATAGTTGATCAGGCTTTTTATATAATGCTACTCTACTTCCTAGAAAGTGTTGTGAATATCAAAGGGAACAGAATCTATAAATACATGACAACAACCTAAACTGTATTTAAATTGTGTTGCTACAGGACATGGCAAAATTCAGTTGAGCAATTCTGATTCTAATTCCCTTTTTATGGTACCTTATGATGTACAATTCCATCATCCACCTCTCCTCCCCAGTTCTGTGCATCATCAAACGATGGTGGGTTTTCCCTGATCGCATTGTACAGCTGAAAAGCAGAGGTGCACACACAAAGAGCAAATGTGAACACATCCATTAGTTTTCATATTGGTTTCATGATAAGAAGCAGAGTAACACTGGATTACGATTTCAGTAAGCAGGTTGGAGTGAGCCTGTGTTGAGTTGACTAAACACACAAGTAAAGAGGCATGAACTGGACAGTGAACACTGTCAAATTGTCTTGTGTCTTTTCAGCAAAAAAAGACAGGATTTTCATGGGTGCTTAGGTCAGCAGTGGTGAACTTCTGTCACAGATTCCAAATTTTGCTCAGACCTGAGCTGGCAGCAACAACTATTTCCACAACTAAAAAACTCAAACCCAAAATTAAATAAAAACACCCTGCCCAAACACAAAACTTGCCACTCTGTATAAGAATTACAGGACATTTGAATAATTTCAGTTGAAAATTACATCCTTAGATTTCAAATTTAGGAGAGAATGGTAGATGTCACAACATTCGCACTGAAGATATATGTTCTATTCAATTATTATACTCATAAACTTCTCATGTTTAATGTATGTATAAGTCAGTATTTCCCCACCTTTTTTTTATACTTTAGTTTATCCAGTGCATACATTTAAAGAAAAAAAAAATCACAATATAACATGAAAAGCTCACTTTAAAAGTTACTAAAACATAAGGCTGAGGGTCAGCTCCCAGATGACAGCTAAGAACACCCAACTTTTTCCATACCTATATGTTAAAGAAATTTGTTTAACGTTACCTTGACACAATCAATTAACCAAACCAAAGCTGCCACAATCTGAGGCCAGGTGTGTGGTGCGCCCACAGTATACATGGAGCTTTTTGACAGGGCAAAGGGGTACCTATAATACCAAAAAAGATACACTTTTAATAGCTGTGGCAGACAGTGACGAAATCAAATCAGCATATTTGGAAAATAACACAGCACATTTTTATATGTGGATGAAAGCACAGAAGGAAGAGCAAACTCAATTGCACTTTATACTGTACTTCAAAGGAAATTAAGTTCTTACAGCACTATTTTATTCAATTATTGTGGGTTTCTCATTTTGTGATTCATAGACTATCTTAATTTGAAAAAGATCCCTAAGGATCAACAAATTCAACTCCCTGCTCCTTATAGAACTGTCTACAACCAATCTGTATGATCAAGAGTGTCATCCAGATGCTCCTTGAACTCCCAAAAGACAACTTCAAGTGAATTGTCAGAATTAGTAATTTTATCCAAAATTACACTCTTGGTGCAGCAGAGTGTAATACTTTTCAACGATTCAAGCTAGGTCAGCAGTTTAAAATGTTACAGATTAAAACAAAATTTTATTAAAATGCCGAGAAGTGAAAAAAACAGATTTACACCTACATTTAAGGAGCCCTGGCACTTTCACACCATCACGAGTTCAAATCTACAGGAGTAAAACAGCCTTTTTTTTTTTTAATGAGATTGAAAATTCACAATTAACAATAGCCAGAAGATTTTCTTTCTTGGAAAGTGTTGGGGCATTAATAATTTCAAACACTGAACAAATTCAGCAATAAACTACTCAGCTACTTAGTGTTTTTTCACCTAAACAGTCATTTTTGTTATCTCCACATTCTGTTTTCAAAGCAGAATAAGAGAAATTGCAAGAAAACATATTTTAAACTAAATTGACTTGATCCAAAAATTCTGGAAATTTTAGTTGTTAGACTCTAACAAACTCTAAGAAAGGTCTGTCAAGAAAAATTCTGTCTTATCTTTCAAAGTTTTATACAAATAATCAATTAAATTTAATGTTACAAAGCAAGATTCCAAGAGCTTATAGCTCTGCAAGTTTAAATATAAAATGTATAGTAGACTCTGAAAATCAGCAAGTAAATCTAGAGCTAAACAAAAGTGAAACAAAACTATCACAACATTGTACTTTTAGAGTCTCATCTGAATAAAAAAACCTATCCATTCTCCCCAACTATCAATGCGTAATTCTTAGCTTTTAAATTTCTAGCCATATCATATGTATTTAGCCCAGGAGACTAACAATAATCATCTTACCCAAGATCTTTAAAAACTTTGGGAATTTCCTCCTCAAATTTTGAGTCAGGCAGTTCATAAGAAGGGCAGAGGAATCTATAGATAAAGGTGAAGATCTTTAAAAAGTCCTTAACTGATGGAGATTGTAGAGATTTCATGGAAACATTGTGGGTGTAACCATTCTCAAGGAGGAACTGTGCAAAAGAAACACAGAATATCAGTCAGTAAATAAAATGTAAGAGTTGAAGCCAAGAGAAAGACCCTTCTGATTAGTACATTTTACACCTCATAACATAAGTGCAGAAGGAGTTAATATGTTACCTCACAAAGCTTCTTGATACATTGTTGGATGAATGTTTTGTCATGAAGGGGTCTGGGATCCTTTATCTTTTCTGTCCCAAACACACTGTACTGGCTGCTGCGGGACCCTCCAGCCCCACTTGCTCTAAGGACAGACAATAAACACAGGTCTTGTGATAATACATAGAAAGAACACTCCCCATGTTTAAGTCACAACACAAATGTTATGTTGATATTTTCTTTGCATTTGCAAAGTGATACTTGAAGTTTTCTCTTCATTTAAGGTGGTTGTAAAAACATCATCAGAGTGGGAACCACAATGCCACATGTGCAACAAAGGGATTATTGCATCCTAGATGAATACTTTCATCATTTTATTGAAAGAAATAAACTTTTAGAGAGCAGAAAAAAAAACCCCAAAGATGAAGAAGAAATCATGTTGGTGACTGTAAATAAAGACTAAAATATTTAAGGACTATTTAAAAGGAATAGACCTCTGCAGTATTGGGGTCCTATGAAAGAAGATACCCACAACACAGAAAGTCATGAGCTAAGCAGAAAGATTATAGATTATTGGAAGGTTTGTATCTTAGAGAGAAGAAACTAATGCAGAGTATGCTTCAGATGTCATCGTTCCTTAAACAAGAAAATGTACTGAGATGCTCTTAAGGTCTGCAGTGCACGTAGTTCCCCCCCAAAAAAAAAGCTCCCAAAGCAATTCCTGCTCCACAACATTATTGTTTAGTGATCACAGACTGGAAGAAGGCAGACCTGAAGGTCTGCTTGCCTCAGATCCATTATTCACTATAATGAAAACCAGTCAAGAAAGAAAAATTCCAAAATTATGTAGGACCATTTTTGTTTTAATTTACAGTGCAGGGAACAAAACCTATCCATACCTGTTCCCAAAACAGCTGACTTTTCTTTCTGAAGCTCCAGATGTAGGTTTGCTCATACTCTGCTTCCCAAGGGTGCTTCTGTCCTTCCTTAGGAATAGAGAGAAGGATTCAAGTGACTATTTCTACCAATTCATCTTTTGCTTGTACAAGAACTATACATGCACTCATATATTCCTAAGCACCTTCATCATAGCAACATCTTAGAAAGGTCAGCTGATGCACCCAGCCATCTCCTAAGAAACATGTAACAAAGGGTTACCATTTGAAACATTACACAGGTATACAAAAAGGTTAAAGCAAGTATTGTTGCAGAACTGGAACACTTGTGCAAACATGCTTGGCTGTAAGGAGCCTTCTTCTCACTATTTCATTTTTTTTTCTCAGTTGCTACTTACAGACTCAAACACACTACTATCAATCTCTTCAGAATTAGTTTTATATACTTATTTTTAGCAATCTGACAGGCAAGACGTACATCTGAGGTGTTTGAAGACCCATCTTGTTGCTGTCCTCCACTCTCAGTGCCATCATAGATTGTCGGCTGCTGCTTCCAGCAATACTTGAGCTTCGCCTCATTGTGACTGCTGTAAATCACAACCCCTCAGTATTCCAGCAGTGTCAGAAAATCCAGGGTCTAAGGGTATTTTCTTTTCTGAATGCCACAATGATTTTCCAAAGTAAAGAAGTAGACCTGTACACATTGGACCAAAAAAATATAAAAAAAAAAAAAAAGAAGAAAAAGATTATGTTAGACTCCAGAAATATGTAAGAGCAGCCACAGTCTTTTAAATCAACTGTTTTAGTGACAAAAGTCAGTGGTTACTCCAAATCTTCTGTTTTGCCTTTCTTTCTATTGGTCACTTCAAATCCCCAGGTTCCAAAAGCAAAAGAGCTTGAGAAATTTTTCAGTTCAGTCCACTGGGGAAAAAGGCCACACTACCACGAGTACACAAGTACTGCTTACAGCACTTCAGCCATACATCAGCTCCTGGGCTGCTCAATCTGAGCCTACCAATTCATTTGCTACTGATCTCCCAGAATCATAGCACAGTAACTGGAAAACCTATTCTGAGATAATATTATGGCTTTCTTCAGACTGTACATGCAGAATATAAATCAAACTGGAATATTAATACCATCATCCCCACAGTGGCATTAAGGTGGAATTTGAAGTAAACAGAATTAACTGAGGAAAAAAATGCCAGCTTCTGCCCCCGACAGAAGTTCTATCTCATTTGTGGAATGGGCTTAAATGACTGAATTATAACTAATAAAAGCCCCCTCCACTACAAACATTACCAAAACACATTATTAATATAAATTGTTGCTTCATTTTGCTTCCAGTTCCCCTGCTCACAGACCACAACAGAAGTCCAGCTCAAGCTCAATTCATAGGGCAGCATATTCCATGACTTCACTCTGTCTGGGGAAGAAGCTGCATTATTCCATTATTTTATCTGGGACCAACCACAAAGAGATTGAATTTTCACAAACATAGCAACTGATTAGCTTCTAGTATAACAGAATCAATTAGGCTGGAAAAGACCTGTGAGATTATCTAGTCCAATTTATGAGCAATCACCACCTTGTAAGCTAGACCATAGCTCTAAGTGCTACATCCAGCCTTTCCTTAAGCACCTCCAGGGACACTGACTTCCCCATTATGCTGGGCAGGTTTGATGATTGTTTAAGCCAGCTCAACACACTCATTCACAACAGCGGTCCTTTCCAGTGTATAATCGCCTTTTCTGTGGAGGAATTCCTCCAACTGTCCCACCAAAGCCTGGCGCAGTTTGAGACCGTGTCCTGTCGCTTGCTGCCTGGGAGAAGAGGCCGACCCCCACCTGGCTACAGCCTCCTCTCAGGTGTTTCCAGAAAATTATAAGGTTGCCCAGAGTCTCTTTCTCTCCAGGCTCAGCAACCCCAGCTCCCTCAGCCACTTCTCACAGGACTTGTGCTCCAGCCCCTTCCCCAGCTCTGCTGCCCTTCTCTGGACACGCTCCAGCCCCTCACTGACCTTCCTGAACTGAGGGGCCCAGAACTGGGCACAGCACTGAGGCGCAGCCTCGCCAGTGCCGCGCACAAGGATTGTCACTGCCCTGCTCCTGCTGGCCACGCTGCTGCTGCCATTAACCAGGACGCTGTAAGAGCAGAACTGGAGCAGAGATGTAAGAGCAGTTTGCCAGAGGCAGCATGCCAGCAGGAAAAAAAAAAAAGAGAAAAACGTAGGAGCGCGGCAGATCCGGGCGCAGCTCCGCCCGCTCGCCCTGAGAGCGCCTCTAAACCGTACCGAGGGCGACCGGGGCACTCAGCAGCCCGGGACTCACCACCACTACCGCCGCCGCCGCACGGACATTTGTCCCGGTGGGTGAGGGTGATTGGTATTGGTGTTGATGTTGATGTTGCTGCCACTACCCTCCCGCTCCCCGCCCTGCTGTTACCACCAGCACCGCCGCCCGCTCGCAATTTCAAATATGCCCGCCCGGACGTCCCTCAGTGCGTCAGACGGAACTGCGTCACGGCGGGGCCGCGGGCGGAGCAGCGCCGAGAGGAGGGGAGGAGGGAATGGAGGGGTGGAGAGAATGGAGGGGTGGAGGAGTGGAGGGAATAGAGGGAATAGAGGGGTGGAGCGAATGGAGGAGTGGAGCGAATGGAGGAGAGGAGCGAATGGAGGAGAGGAGCGAATGGAGGAGAGGAGCGAATGGAGGAGAGGAGGAGCCCAAGCCCCGGAAGGGCTCAGGGACGGGCCATGGCCGTACAGAGACATGGCGGCGCCCGCGGTGAGTGTGTGCCAGGCGCTGCCGGGCCTCGGTGAATCCCGGGCTTTTCTCCAGCCGCCGAGAATTTTCCTGGGGAAAAGCCCGAGCTCTCGGTCCCTGTGTGCCCTCGGGGATGGGAGTCGGCGCCTGGCCTCAGCAGCGCTGGGCCTGCGGCTGCTCCTGCCTTTGCTGCTCCCGGGTGCCGTCATTGTGAACCATGTCTCTATGTATATGTATATGTGTGTGTGTAGATACAGTGTATGCATATGTATATAGTGGGTATGTATGCATATATGTGTGTGTTTATTTGTAAATACATATAGCGTATGTCTGTATATAGTGTGTGCATTATATATAGTCTATATAGCACGTGTGTAACATACGTGGTAAAGATATGTAGTGTAAATGCATATATATTTGGTGTATATACAGTGTATAGATATACACAAGTATCGTATAGTCTTAGACATAATTGGAGTGTCATAGGGCTGTTTTCTGACTTGTTTAAAAGAGACAGAGTAGGCACATACCGTATAAAAGTATGGAAAGTCATATAAAATTCGGTTACTACAAAAAATGTAGTGGCATGGGGATCAACATAATGAGGAAACTAGCTGAAGTCAGCAGTTTCAGCAGTGTGCCCTGTGTGAGCATGGAAATGTCTGTCAGAAGAGATGTGCTAGTTTATTAAACAGTGGTAATTCTGTAAAGTGAATTCTTATAAAAATTCCCACAGGAGGAGGTTGCTCCAGGAAGTGCAGATGGTTGGTGAAGGCTGTGGTTTCAGGGAGCTGATTTTTCATCCTGAAAAGGGGACTTATGATGTCCGTGGTACATCGTCTGACAGCGGGATGGCTTGTGGATCATCTCTCTTTCATCAGCCAGTGTGGCTATGAGATCTGTGACTCCTTTGCACACGCTGGTGGTGTCACTCACAGTACTTCTGTCACATCTACTGAAGACTATTACAGCATTTCTACTTTTGCTGCCATGCCCTCATCAAGCGGTGGTCCTCCTTATGATCCTGGAGATGCCGTAGAAGCAGAAGGTAAAAGAGCAAAAATGAGATATGTGTTTCGGGAGGAGTTCTTTGATATTTCTAAGCCCCATATAGCTGCAGCTTGTGAGGAGCAGCCGTGTCAGGGATGCCCTGAGGTGAGTCTGACAGGAATAAAGGCCAACAGCAGCAGAGAGGAATACCAAGAAGGAGCAAAGAGTGACACTGGAGATTCTCTTGCCACTGCTAGGAAGGTATGTTCTCTGTAACAGTAAATTACAGTAATCCCTTGATAAATATTATTCTGCTAATATTGTTTTGCATAACTAAGTCTTTTGAGGTAGTGTAGAAGAGTGGGAAATTTTGAGGATATTCTTGTGCCACTCATGTGAGTTCTGTACATTCTGTGTCTCATAAACAGTGGATTGCTCCTGAGATCATCTGACACTGGTTGTGGTCAGGTACACAGCCTGAAACTGTGGTAGCTGTTGAGATTGTGCAGATTAGTGAGTTGGGAAGGACAGTATGAATTCACTTTAAGTGTTGTTCAGTACTGTTCCATATGGGCATGAGAAAATAAGAGTCACTTGTCTAAACCAATAAATGTAATCATATAGAATAACTAATATTTTTCTTTTATTGGTAAACTGCACTTGGCAGCTGAAACTTTTAGTATGGGCCCAAAGAGGCATGAGCACAATCTGTGCACTAGATACCTTCAGATCCTAGTGCCATGAATAATTTAGAGCAGCTTTAAGCCTGTGTACCTTGTGAATGCCTGCAGCAGTTTAGTTTCAGATCTTTTTGCTTATTTGAGTTGTACTTGTGATAGTAAAAAGAGATGGAAATTTTTGTCTGGTTTTAAAGAGGTAGGTTTTAATTCAGGTATGTTTGATTTTTTTCCCTGTTTTATTTCATTGTGGAATTGTTTGTTTTTTTGTTGTTGTTTTTTGCCAATTCTGCAGAAACGTAAAAGGAAATGTGTATTCAACCAAGGTGAACTGGATGCTTTGGAATACCATTCAAATGTAAGTTGGAGAAAATGTATATTTTGCAAGTACATGCTGCTTGACTTTGGGTGTGTGCAGAGAGGAGGGCATGGTTGCAAACAAATTCTGTTTTTGTAGCTTATTCCACTGGTGCAAAGAAGGAAAGGGAAAGGAAGGTCCGTCTCTCCAATCGTTATATGAATTCATGCTTACAGAGTAGATCTTCTGTGTAGATAAATGTGAAACTGCATCTGAGACATTACGAAGAGCTGGAAGCTGCATGCACAAAGTAACCTTGTACTGTTATAGATAACTGAACATCATGTTGTGATGAGTTGAATATTAGGAAGTGATCGATTTGAAATTGGCAGCATAACCCCTTCTGAATAGCAGCTCCTCAGTGTTTCAGGACACTGTGCTGAGTTACTCAAAGCTTTTGTGACCTTTGAAGCAAATGTGCTTCAAAGTATCTTATTCTGCAATTGAAAAAAAAAAATAACCTTTCTCTAATGTTTTATATTGTCCTACTAAAGGATTAGGCATTGATTGGAATTCAAATCCGTGTGCTTATGTCAGTGATGTGCTGGTGGAGATACAACTGATTAACACTGAAGCATAATAGTGAATCATAGAAATGCAATCTGTAGGTAATGCTTGATGTATTTTACTACTTTCCCAAATAGTGATGTGAGCCTGAACTGGGAGCTACACTTGCTTTCTTTCCTTTGGCAAAGATGTTAGTCATATTGGGCTTTATTCTTAAATCTGTTCTGCTTGAACTACATTTAGATGACTATGCTTTTTTGCCTTTTACATGGCAACAATCTTGTAGTAAATATTTGCAGCTTGCTGATACAGTGTAGAGGTCCTGTGATTACTTTTGTGGATAAGCTGTGCATGTGCAAAAAATCACCTTAAAGGAAAAAACTTTGAAGTTCAGCATGAAGTTTCATACATGAGTATGAAAACTTCAAGGCAAAAATAAAATCATTCAACAGTAGAAATAAGGAAAGAAATGAACAAAAGAAGTTTGATGTCTTGGAGCCTTGTTTAACTTCAAATGATATTTGGTAAATATGTGGAAAAGACAGTTTGGAAAAATCTGTGACCCCAGTTAGCCTCTTAGATTATTCAGAGATTAGAAAGTAGTATTGGGTTTTTGCTGTATTTGTGTTGTTGAAGGTTATAGCTCTGCAAGTCAACCCAGATTATTCTGGCACATATTTGTATCTGTAGAGTCATTGTCAAAAAACCCAAACAACCCCAATTTTGTTTCTGCAAGTGAATCTATGAATTTTAGCTATTGAATCCATTTATGAATTTCAGTCAGAGTCAACATAGGGAACAGTACAAAATATGCTAAATTCCTTCAGCAGCCATTTGGTAAAACTCCTGCTTCAATAGATTGATAGTCAGGAGACTTTGTCCACTTTGTCCACTTTGTCCACCTGTGAGTTAATGCATGCATGTAAGAGGGTGTAGTTTCTAAAGATATATTTATTAATTCTGTTGAAACAGTATGAACTTCTCTTATCACAAACCAAGGTACTAAAAATTTATGACTCTGTACTCTCTGATATCTAGAGGTGGCACTATTAAATTATTAAAAAAAAAATTCTTCCCCTGTCACTAATCTGGGAATTGTAATAAAGCATATTTTGTAAAAGCCTCTTGTAGTCTTGAAGATTCTGTAATCAGAAGCATTTGAAACCGCAGTATGTATTTGAAACATTTAATAAAGCCCCTATAACTGACAATGGACAAATGGATAAACACACCTGACTGACTGACAATCAAAAGACATAAAGGCTCCATGATTTGGATATAAAATGGTGTGGGGGGCAAAGATTCAATTTTGGATAAGCAGTGTTAAAGTGAGAGGTGTGGCTTTAAAGCCCGGGAAAAGTAAATTCCACCCTCTGCTTCAGGAGATGTGCCCTGTGAGCCCGGGACGAGTTGCCCCATCTGCAGACCCCTCATGGGGTTGCAGCTCAGGGTGTTCTGATTTGTTTTGTGCCCCTGGGTTTCTCCCTTGCAATGTCCCTATTAGACCCTGACCTTAAACTCCACCCTGGCTCTGTTCCATGAAACCCCCACCCTGCCTCTGGTCTGTGTTCTTTGTCTCTGGATTTAAGCTGAGTTTGTTCCTGTGTTGAATAAATGGTTTCCTGACATTAACCAAGCAGAGACCCGTCTCATTGCATCCCATGTCAGTCACCAGAATCCATAACCTCCCTGGACTTGATCCTGCAGCTGCAGAACACAGCAAAATGGGTCTCTAAATTTTGTGACGGTGCTGAAGTAACAGTGTATATAGGTCCAACAATTGTGTCATCCTGGACTAACAGGCTATTTGAGAGGTTTGCCACTTAGAAAAGTTACAAAAATCAAATTCTGATACTTTGATTTACTGATTGTACTTCTGTATTACTGTAAAATGCATAAACTGTTGTTTTATGAAGTGAATTGAAATGTGGAAAATGACTTATTTTTAGATCCCAGTATACATTTCAATTAAAAGTATGTTCATGGGCACAGTGACTTGAAATTAAATTAGAATTTTAAATTAAACTTCAGATAATTGCTTTGAAATTTGAAATTCAAATGTTTGCTTGAAACAATTATTTTCCACGTCTGTTGTCTGAAATGTTTTATTCAGTA